GCGCCTTGGCTGGAGGCAGGGTGGGGGACGCGGCCCTTCGGGGCGGATACCACCCGCACAGCGCTTGGAGCTGCCTAGTGTTTAAAGGGAGGTCAAGCAGGAGCCTGTTCAATTTTGAGGCAGGTCAAACCGTTGGAAAGAGCAGGGAAGGGGGCGATTTGGGGCTGGTCCCCCAGTACCACCCGCACAGCGCTTGGAGCTGCCTAGTGTTTAAAGGGAGGTCAAGCAGGAGCCTGTTCCATTTTGAGGCAGGTCAAACCGTTGGAAAGAGCAGGGAAGGTGGCGATTTGGGGCTGTTCCTCCAGAGCAGCGCCCTGGTACCGCGCAAATTACAGGCTTCCCTAAGCCGTGCTCAGCATGAAGGCTCCTGTCCACGGCTTTAGAGGAGACGCTGCAGCGGGGCTGCTGCAGCCTCCTGGCATGGCGATTTGCAGTAGCGCCTGGTGCAGCTCTGTGTCGAAGCTCTAGCGCCCAGCGTGCTGCTCTGGGCCGTGGGTCAGCTCCACCAGGAGGACACGCAGCTCCCTGGAACACAAGGTCTCCTGTCCATGAGCAGCTCCCACAGCACAAACACACACCTCAGATGGGAAACTGTTTCTGAGAGGTGGAGACTGGAGATGCCGGCAGATAACTGCATCCTCCCCAGCTCTGAGGGGAACAGAAATACCGACATCTTCCAATGCAACGCATCATCTTCCTGAGCTCCTATCCTTGACACCAATATACATTAAGAGAGATTTTCTTCTCACCTAGCTTGTCCAAAGTGCTGGCTGTGGGTCGTACAAAGGGCCTGCTTGAGCAGTACTGATCTAAGGCAACAGGACTGTGGTGGCCAGCCTCGAGCATGCCCCACGCAGACACGCAGTGGCAAGTGGCAGCAGTTTCAAGTTCAGCTCAGCTGAATGGTTTTCCTTTTTTTGCCTCATTTTTTGATTCGCGTGCTGTAAGGCACTTCCTTGACTCGCAACAACCCCGTTACAATGCAGCTCGTCGCTGCTCTGGCGGAGGATGTTCACAGTTTCAAGTGTTGGCCAACCTAGGGACGCGGGTCACTACTGCCCCTTGTGGTAACGAGGGAGTCTCTGGGACCGCATGGCTTTGGAAAGCTTTTACACTACTCATCTCACTTAATGACCCGTTTTAAGTTCTCATTGAATTCAGTGAAAAACTCCCATTGACTTCCGTGGGAAGGAGTTTATTTTGACTTAAAAGCACATTCTCTTTTTCCCCAGGGAAGGCAGCTACTGCTTTAGAAAAATAACTACCACAGTGGAGATAAGCAAGACAGAAAAGAAAAAAGTAGGACTTATACACCGTGGTGCAAGTTGTTCATCAATCTTTTGGTCTTCCTTTTTTTTTTTTTCAATACCACAGTGAGATCCTTTCCAAAACCTAGTGCGTAAGATGTCAGCCTTCACTTTGAATATTGTTGCTCTTCTCATCTTGACTCACCAGCGCCTTAATGCAGCTTGCAATAAGTGAACACATGGGCTTTTTTCATGTTATAACAGAATGCAGAGAAGCTTGAATATTTAAGGCAGAGTTTTCTGACTCCTCAAAGCCATGGTGCTGGGAGTCGCAATAACCATGGCACGTGGCACTATGTAAAAATTATGTGTATGGTTGTACTTACACCTTTAAAAAAATTTAAGACAGCAAAAGGCAGATCCAGTGCTGTCCCAGTTGTCACACCCTTACCGATAACGAGATCCTTGTGGCATCTCTGGCATGTCCAGATGGATGGATGCTCTCCTTCCTACTGAGGCAAAAGGCCCTTCAGACAACAGAGACAAGCACTATGAACCCAAAAACAAGAGCAAGAGAATTAAGGTCATAGGAGGCTTCAGTGATGCGCTTGATTTTTACATGGAATGAATTCATGCCCTCTGGTAGCAGACGGTAGCACAAAGCCATGAGATTGATGCGTTTCCATTACACACTCATGCATAAACATGTATTTAGGAGCCTTTTACACTGTTGCTTGAAGGCTTTTAGATTAAATTCTCTCAACAAATACGTTCGATTGCAAACACAGCTCACACCCAGCCAATGTGATGGATTCTGCACAGCAGACAGGTGGTTATTGTAAAATCTAATTTCAAATCTGCATATGGCTGATACTTCGATTAAGCTCGCTCCTCCCGCAGTCAGAATAAACAGAGCCATTTGACACGATGACAGCGTAACCTTTGGCTGTCCTCTGCGGCGCACACGCGCTGCGTGATAAGGCACGCTCCACACTTCCCACACGGAAGGGCTGCAGTGCAGATGGTCGGGCTTGCAAAGGCAACATTTCAGCACAGAAAACGATGTAATTAGAACTGGTTATGCAGAATGTGTTTGTTAAGGTAGATTTCTGCTCTTTCTTACATTGCTGCATATTGGGAGTATCATCGGCTACGTCTGGCAGACGCGCGCGAGTCGGTACCAGCAGCCTGTGAGCAGCAAAATCGACCTGCCGCGGAGCCAGGCGGTTCCGCAGCTTCACAGACAAATCGGTGTCAGGGCTAAACGTTTTCAAAATAACATGTCTGCATGTGCGTTTCGAACCCTCGCCAAATGCTTTCAGCTGCTTCTCGCCTCACAGTGACCCGGAAGAGAGGACCACTGTGCAAAAGTGGAGAAGGGAAGGGAAGGGAAGAAATCTGATGGTGACTTCAAAGGATTTCATTTGAGTCCTTCCAAAGCAATTGGCAATGCTTCCTGCTGCAAGGGGGGAAAGTGAGAAGTAAAGTGGCTGCGTGAGATAAGACGAGATGTCTTACTTGGCTGTTCATGTGCCAAGTCCTTATCAGCATCACTTGAGCCTGCTGGAATAGCCGGCTACCACACTGCCTAAAAATAAGCTTTTTATCTCCAGATGTTTTCATAAATGGCAAGCCGCACCAGACAGTGCTTCCCCTCCACTGCTGGCAGCTCGCAAAGGCCAGCCGCCCTCGGCGGCATGGGACGAGCGTCATCCCTCGG